CATGGTGCTCTACAAAAGCAGAGTGACTTAGGTTTTGCTGTCTTTTAAATTTTTTCTATAGACAATGAACTCTTGTTATCGCTCTCATGTGGGCAGGACCACTCCCACCACACACCTCTTGGTGCCACTAAAGAGAGTCCTGGGGCTGCCCTGGCCTCCTTCCCTGTCGTGGGGAGGGAAGGCATCCGGTGATGGTTCTGCTAGCGTACATCAATCCTGCACTATCCAATCAGAAGACAGCCCACCAGATTATCACCTCTGCCAGGCGACAGCTCAAATCAGTTCAACTGCTCATGGAATCCATACCATCACTCGGTGAAAGTACAATTCCAGAGCCAGATGAAGCCAGGTGGCGTGCTGACAAGTAGGTGTGTAAGTCAAAGACCAACTTGCTTGCCATACATTTGTAGTGGACACTGGAGGCACTCTCCTTCACCAGCTAGTGCACACATCGCCCAGCTCTGGGAGTGCTGTGACTGATGACTCACCTTGACCTTCTCCAGATAAGTGCTGTTGGCTGGGGGACCAGGTACCCCACCCCATCCTTCACTCTTTAAGGGTTATGCCTTAATAAATCGTGAACAATGAACCCTGTTTCTGCTTCTAAGGAACCTGACCTAAGACACTTCTGCCACATTGAAATATTTACAATCATTGCCTATTTTTGAAGTGTTCCAGACCCTCTGCTGTCTCATGCCTGGCCTCACCACAGCAGTCCTGGCCGTGCCCCCTCCACTTGTCTGCATGGGGCACCAGAGTGAGGTTTCTACAAGGTAGACATGACTGTGCCATTTTCTCCTTAAACCTTTCAGTGATGGTCTCAGGGTAAAATCTACATTTTCCAGCAAAGCCTGTCTTGTCCAGCCCTCTCCCTACTCCCCCTGCCACAGTTCTTGTAACCCACGTCCAGTCACACAGATGTCCTAGACAGGCCCAAACAGATATGCCATTTCATATCGCTGACTTTGCCCAAGCTACTGCACTACCTGAACACCCGTTCTTTCATACTCTGCTTCCTTCTTCTGCTAGTCATTCTTCAAAACTTAGTTCAGACATGTTCTCCTCTAGGAAGTACTGTTTGAGCTTTCCCACCCTGCCTGCCCCTAACTCCCCTTACACTGAGCTGGGTTAGGCGTCCTTCCTCAGAATACACTGAATTAGACATTTCAATTGTCCATATAATCATGATATCAAGTCTTCATCTCTGCATCCTCAATACCCAACACTGTGCCTGACACATAGTAGGTATTCAATAAAGATATGTTGAATGAATAAATGCTAAATAAACAATCTACCCAAATGATACCTTCAATGCCCAAGGCAGCGTAGGATTAGTAGAGAGCATTTTGTGTGAAAACCCATTCACATACCAACACTTGTTCTGCTACCAAACGTTCTGGATTGAATGTAGCCTAAGATGGTTTGGGTAGTTAAAAGCTGGAGAAAACCTATTAAGTAAAGTGCATAAAGTCTTGGGAAGGCACTGCCAGCTGCCAGAATGTTTGCATGAAGAAAGTGGCATGCTTATCTTTTGAAAGGTTTTTTTAAATACAACATAATTATGTACAATAACTCAGTTTAATAAACTGTTTAGCTGAAATGTTCATTCTGATTACAAATGAAGGGCATTATGTTCAAAATAGCTCTGGAAGGGCCGGCCGAGTGGCGCGATGGTTAAGAACTGGCTTGGAATGCCAGAGGGCCCTGGTTTGGATCCCACATATGAGGGCCAGTGACACTGCCCTCTACAGCTAAGATGCTGAACAACAGCTCAACCTGGAGCTGGGCTGCCATGAGTCACCGGCGATGGCGTAGGCTGCAGCCCCTGTGGCAGTGGGTTGCCATGGGCTACCGTATGTAGCCAGCAGCCAGCGTGAGCGGCCAGCAGCCGTAGTGAGTGGCCGTCCAGAAGCTGGCGACTGATCTGCCTCGCCCGGGAAGAGCGCAATGATGGTGCCAACTTGGGCCAGTGAAGCAACGTCCTCCACAACTAGACTGAAGAACAAAACGACAGCAACTAGTCTGTTCCCCTTCCCCCAATTCCCCAGCACTGTTCCCATCCCCCAAAACCCCCAATAAAAATTAAAAAAAAATAGCTCTGGAAAAGCCTCTAGGAAAGTTGGTAAATTTGTGGTTTAAGAACCAAGACAGATTCCTGCATTATAAGTCATATCATTTTTGACAGTTTATTAAAACATTGTTTTCTCATAAGCCTGGTTTATGGTCCAAACAAAAAGTAATCTGTGGAGGGAAAGGAAGAAATAAAGAAAAGAAAGGAAAGAAGGAAGGACTAGGAAGTTAGTTGTTTCCTGCCACTTTGATTTTGGTAAAAATTTATCTATTCACCCATTTAAAGAAAATAGCTGTTTGGTCTCAAAATACATCGAGTGAGTGAGTCCCACCAGGAGAGATTCACCTAACAAAGGGTCCCTGAACAGACCACTTACTACTGAGAAGGACTATGTGAAGACAGGAGGGGTTGATGAGGGGAAGAGAGGAAGCACTGCGATAGAATTCTGGCAGAATGTTTTTGGGGAAATAAACATAATAGAAGAACAAGGAGCCAAGAATATATTCACCCAAAATGCAAAAGTCTGATAATACCCATTGTTGGCAGTGATGTATGAAAACATATTTTCAGGTACTTCAGGTGGGTATATGAATGGGTAAAAACATTTTGGAAAACAATTTGCATTACACAGTAACATTGAACTTGTGCTGAACCTGCAATTCCACTTCTAGGCATATACCCAGGAGAAACCCTAGAACATGTGCCTCAGGCCATATACAAAGATATACAACAGCGGTGTTGGGCACAGCCAAAAAAACAGAGTGAAAACAACCCATAGGTCCATTAGCAGTAGAGCAGATGAAAAAATTGTGGTATATCCATACACAGTAGATACTACAGCTGTGAACTATATACTATATGTATTAACACGGCTGAATCCAAAAACATATTAATAAATGAAAAAAAGCAAGTTACAAAAGAACTTACATATAGTATGATTCCATTTATATAAAGATCAAACACTAGCAAAACTAAACAATGTGTTATTTAGGTATGCATATGTATGTGTCAAAACTATTAAGAGAAATCAAAGAAATGATTATCACACAATTCAGAATAGTGGCTGCAAAGTTACTGGAAATGTGTTATGTCTTAAAACAATTGTTCATTATATATTTTATTATTCTTTAATTTGTGCAGATTATTATATATTCTTTTGTATGTAGTATTATTTGTAATTCTTAAAGAGTTGGTTTAAAAAACAGAGTGCAAACAGATGGTGAGTCAGAAGCTCATGGGAGGGTGGGAGAAGAGGGTCACACATCAGCTGAACCAATTGTTCCAGATCTAAATGTAAGGATTTCACCCAAGGACAACATGGTACTAAAAAGGAAGGGTTCTGAAACTCGCGTGCATTGGTCCCCCTATCACGGAAAGGGTTCGGTTACCTCTCTCTCTAACTCTCGCAGCTTGTACCCCCTCCTTGCTCAGTGCTGCCCGCAAGCACCTGAACTTACCTTTACCCCGTAATATGCTGAAGCCCAGTCTTTGCTCACTGTCCGGGCCTGTACTGAGGGACATCTAGCATTTGCCCGTTACTGGGTGGATTAAAATCCTCAGTGGCCCTTTAGCACCTAAAAAGTGTAGTCCCCGCTTTCCTTTGCCACCATGTCTTTGTACATGCTATTTCCCTGCCTGGAGTGTCACCCTCACACCCCACCCCCATGGTGTCCTCTTAGATAACCAGATGTCACCCCCATAGGAATGAGGACTTTCCCCATCTCTCCAGTCACTTCTGTGCTCCCTCTTCTGGGCGTACACTGGACCCTGTGTGTGCCTCTATTATAGCACTTAGCAATTGATGTGATGAATTGATGACATGCCCCCATCCTCATTAGACTCCAAGACCTTCAGGATCAGAACACTTGGCTATGTGTGTCTACTCTTTTTACCATGGGTGGCATTCAAAGTATCAACCAATCAGGACTTCACAGGCAATACTCAATTAAAATGAATATGAGGCTGGAACCCCATCCTGCAGGTGCCTCCCCCACCCCCACATTGCTAGTTATTAACAACTTCGTTCCTGAATCATTGGGAGGTGAAGGGAAGGCAGGAGAGGGGCCAGGCAACTGGGTTGGAGGGATGGGGGGTTGCTCAGGACAGTATATATTTCCCAACGAGCAGAGGCGTATTCAATATTTTAACAACTGGTATGGCCATTCTATCTCAATACCTAACAGCACAATATCCAGCTTCATTATGTCCCTAGGGACAGAAAGCATTGTGCCTGGTAATAGGTATGTAATAAATATTTACTGAATATTTATTTATTTAATAAATAAATATAAACAAGACATACCTTAAATTACAACTGGAATCATGAACTCTTTTCCCATAAGAAGGAGGGGGAATCTGAGATCTGGCTTCTATGGTCACTGTCTTTTGTCTTCCCTGCCTCCATTTTCCCACTTCATCTAAAAACAGAGATTGGCTAATGGATGGGCATGACATCCAAGTTGGTCCAATAAAACTCAATCCTTAGACTTCTGTTTAAATACCCGCAACTGCTCTGGCCCCTCAACCACCCCTGGTGCCAACAGTATTTGGAGCTTCTGACAGCTGTCTTGCCACCATGATGAGGAGCCTGCTGAGAAAGAAGCCTGCAGAAAACCAACATACGGGGAGGGGCCAGTTCCTGCAACCTAATTCAAACTCTGGGACCCAGCCATCCCTGAAGATTCATCTTGCCCCTTTCAGTTAAATGACCCAATAAATTCCCTTTCTTGCATATGATATTTTGACCTGGGGTTTTTGGTGTGTGTGTGTATGTGTGTGTGTGTTTCCTTTGTAACTACAATTTCAGTCTAACTCAGCTAGAAAGATAATCTTCCACTAGGAAAAATGCAAATCTAAGTTTTTACATATGTGAGTATCTCTTAACTTTTCCCATCCTATGACATTTTGGTAGTGCGTTTTGGAAACTCACCTTTCACCAAGTAGAACATTCGATAGATTTATAAATGAGGGAAAGTCCGGGGTGTTCATGACAGGATAGGCATGGATGGGAATAAGCAAAGTGTCATCACCCTGAAATTAATGGGAAAAAAGTCAAGTTTACCATACCGAAGACTACAAGTTTTAAACTTGTAGACACGTAATTTCTTATTTTGTTTTCTATCATTAAAAAATATTTCCAGAAAAAAAATCTCCTAAAAGAGCCTGAGTGCTTAAATATACCATTTAAAATACTGAGTTTCTTCTGGGGCCTGCCAAGTGGCTGAGTTGGTTAACAGCGCGAGCTCTGAGCAACAGGGTCACCGTTTTGATTCCCACATGGGCCAGTGAGCTGTGCCCGAGCTGAGCTGCCGCTGAGCTGCCAACAGGTGGCAGGATGGCTCAGCTGGTGAGAGCACATGCTCCTAACAACAAGGTTGCTGGCTGGACTCCCACATGGGATGGTGAGCCACGCCCACCTGCAAAAGATTGAACACAGCACCTTGAGCTGAGCTACCCTGAGCTGCATCTGACAGCCAGACAGCTCAGGGTTAGAGCTAGTGCTCTTAGCAACAGGGTTGCTGGTTCAACTCCTACATGGGATGGTGGGCTACACCCACCTGCAACTAAGATTGAACACAGCACTTTGAGCTGAGCTGCCGCGAGCTGCCAATGGGCGGCCGGATGACGACTGGACTTGGAGCTGAGCTAGCTGCGCCCTCCATAATTAAGATTGAAGGACAACAACTTGGCTGTTCCTCTTACCCAATTCCCCAATAAAATCTTAAAAAAAAAAATACTGAGTTTTCTTCGCTATAAACAAAGTGTAAAAAAATATAAATATATTTCGTTGACATAATATTCACTATTATTCGGGAATGCTAAAGGTAATGATGCCTTCGTGTAGACAGGAAGACAGCAGTGTGTCTGTTTCTATAGTAGAAAGTTATAGGGAAACACAATTGTTGGTGGCCTGAGAGAAAGAGAAACCAGCACAGTATCAGTGGACCCAGACTGCTGATTAGTAAACAGTGAACTGGAAGAGGGGCAGGGGGCTGCTTCTAGTCCTGTGTAATGTATACCCTTAAGCATGACCTTTAACCTCTCCAGGCCTCATTTCTGCCTTTGCCAAATGGGGATAATTCTGCCGTTCCTTACAGGTGTTTTTGAGAATTAAAGCAGGTGACAGCCTTAAAAGGTGAAAAGTGCCACATAAATGCAAGATATCACTAGCATTCCTATTAAGCAGCAGAAAACGCACTGGGGCGCACTCTGTATGACGCCTGGGCTAGGGATTTTTGTTCTTGGTACACAGAATATTCCTCCTGAAAGCCATATTCTAGTTTTGTTTTGGTTTTTTCTTTTTAAAAATTGAAACTTGTTTGTTACTAAAGCATACTCTACCATTACAGTTTTGAAAAATTAAATTTAATTCACCTTAAGGTTTCTCAACTTTTACAAGAGTTGGGGCTGGAATATAGAGCAGAGGCAAAGGTGGAAATTACAGTTTTAAGAGAAGGATTGACAGCACAGAGATGTGGCTCTGGCTGAAGGCCAAAGGATGAATTAGGTGACCTAGAAAAGGCTCATACGAACTCACACAGCACAGCCATTGGGAGTCAGGCCACACAGGTTACCACCGCCCTGTAGACCCCCAGGGCTGCCTCTGAGGACATTCCCACACAGGATACCATCCAGTCCTCAATGTTTATAAACACATCTGTGGGCTGTTGCTAATTTTTTAACCTAGCACTTAAAGGAATGTGTTTCAGTTATTTGAAAAGCCTTCACCAACTCCCACACACGATAAATGAGGTTTTTAGGCCAGGGCAGGTGGGAAACTTGCAACAAACAGTGTCTCGTGACTCTGCCCCAGTTCTCAGAAGTCTAATGAGTCACCAGCTGGGACCCATGTCACAGGACAAGGACCCTCATGCCACGCAGACAGGCTGAACAAGGAACACAGGGCTAAGAAACTTCACAGTACTTGTCAATCCATCTCTCTTTCTTCTTCCCTTGAGGATATTAGTTTTGACACCACTCCCTAACCCCAAAAACCTGATTTTAAAAAACTTACCTTACAGTGAACACGGATGCAATCATAATAGTATCGCCACTCATCTGGTGAGAATGTAATGGTGACTGTGAGGGACAAACCAGGGACGAGGTGGTGTTCCTAGAAGAAAAATGGGCTCCTATTGGTACAACCCCCAGAGCACACAGGGAGCAAAACTGAGGTGACAACACTGCATACCCGTCCCAAGCTGACCTGTGACACAGAAAACCACAACCCAACAAAGAACACCAGGGGACAACAGGCCATCAAACAATGTTTACCTTTTTTACATACTTGATCTGAAAGTATTTGGTTTGCGGGGGTAAGATATGAACATGTATGTCATCATTGGAAATGTTGACCAGATGCTAGGAGAGAAAAAGAAGCATTCAGAATAAACACACTGTTTTATCTATTTGCATATTCATGTCCTCATTTATTTATACCTCATCTTGTTCCAAAAGGGATTCAAGAAGACACAATGTATTTTTTAACTTTTCAAAAGATTTGAAATCTATCATATGCCATTTAAAGAATGATAAAACAAGCACAACAAACACCATTTAAAGAATAAATACGCCCCATGTGCCTTCTATGCCTTGAAGTCCTTAGAGCCTGCCCCTTGCCCCGTGTCCCCCAAGGCCCATATCCTCCCCCAACAATCCTGACCGGTTACCCTGTGTGCCTTCTTGTTGAACTCAACTTAGTCCTGTGACTCAACTAAGCTAAAAAGCCAGCCACCAACCAACTCCCACAGTTTCTCTAATTACATGCCACTGCTACTGGGGCTCCGAGACACGTAGGCAGTCAAAAAAAATGGGAAAAAGAGTGTGGCTGAGGCAGCCTCCAATCCATCTTTGGGGCAAATTAAAAACCTCAAGGTCAGGCGTTCTCTGATGGTAATAGGAGGCCATCCTCATGAGAAAGGACAACTCGCTGGATCAATTGACAGAGTCTCTGAGTAAAGGTGTTTTTCCTTCCTCTGCCTGAGAGGGGAGCAAGATCTTTGGGTTCTGGGGATCCGGACTTCACCTGGGCCAGGGGATAGTTAAAAGGCCTTGGTTTCCATAGTCTAGGCCGGAGGCTGGGCTTGTCACTGGGCCCACTGCCTGAGGCCTCACATTCATCAAAGCCCTAAATTAGATTTCAGAAATTATTTCCTGGTGAGGTTACACTGGTGTTTGCATTTGTTAAAAGTTCTCATTTATCACCTGTGAACATTCGTAAAGTACCACGATTTTTGTGACCCAGTTTTGGCATATCTTCTTTTTTTTAATATGTTAAATGCCTTAAAAAAATAAAAAATAAACATAGTTACCAAGGCCTCTCTTGATATCCAAGGGGCCATGCCTAGGAGCAACCTTGGTGAAGGTGTGCACTCCTGGGGCCCTACCCATGAGAGCAATTGGTTCTTCCAAGAGAGCCCGGGAGGACAGGTATGCTGGGACTCAGGATGTCTGGAGCCTCTGCCCAACACACCCGAAGCCCTGGGGTGGTGGGACCTGCCTGGAGAGGGAGAGTAGCCACTCAGCCCCAGGTCTTGGAAGCCTTCACAAAGAGCTCTGTCCCCATGCTAGTCATGGAGGGAGGGCTGTTAAAGGAGTGTTTAGAAAGTGTATTTTAAATTAATAATAAAAGTTTATTTGAAAACATAAGAAAACATGTGTAACTCAGTGTTACCCTTGAGGAGTGCCTAAAATCCTACCCTGTCTTCCAATTTTGGGGTCAGTAGATGTCCCCAATCCCTCCAAGATCTCTGTTGCCCTGGGGGCTGAACCTCTCCTGCCCCTGGGGGTCCTCATGATCTTGATGCTACTACCTCCACAGGGCACCACATGCAATTCAGCCCTTGCTTCAGTTTTTCAGAACTGTCCCCTGCAACAAACAAGCAAAAAACCACCCAACCAATGGATTTAAAGGATTTTACTCACGATTTACAGGAATTTCCCAAGTATTGCCCACACCTCTCCACTCTCCCTCCCATCTCTGCTGCTCACAGGCTCCCTTCCAAGTCCCCTCAGGGGAGCCCAGTCTTCCTGTCTACAGAGCAGGACAAAATCCTCTCCTTGGGGTCAGGTCAGTAGGGGCTAACGTTTAACCCCAAGTACTTACCATGGAATTTTCCCAAACACAACATTTCAGACTCCAAGTTGGGGATCTTTTAACACCTCCTTTCAGTGGCACGGCTTCTCAAAGAAGGTTAACACTTACTTAACCCGGGGACAGGAGGACAAAATTCAAGCAGCCCTATAAGTTCTTTAAAGTGTTTTTATCTTAAAATACGTGTTGGTCATGCATTTTACTCTAAAATTTCCCTCTATAATGCATTCCTCCAAAACGAGAGAGTAAACGTGATGCTCCAGAAAGATGCACTGTGTTTACACCGGGGCTTCACCTCTCCCCACCCTCACACATGGAGGACGGGCTGCTGGGATTCATGGCCCCAGTTTTGAGACCCAAGATCTTGGGAGAGGCGGGTCTCTAATGGCTGCAGTAGGGAATTGAAAATTAATACTATTATTTCAGAAGGCCTGAAGGAACTGTTAACTTATGTATGATAAGGCTGTATAGGCTAACAACTTTGTTTTGGGCTGGCAACAACATAAGTTTTCTTATGGGGAAAATGATTAATTATGTACTTAACAAATATAGTTTCCCAGACAAAACCTTGCTGCAGAGGGAAAAGAATTTAAGAGGTCTTGGTTTTGAAAACACTAGACACAATTATTTCAAATTGTAAAGTACAAGGTCTAACAATTAAGTTCGCGAACTTATTGCAACGATGTTACTAACCTTTTTCAATATCAGAGGGATTATTCATTATGAATTTGTACCAACTGGACAAACAGTTAACCAAGTTTACTATTTGGAAGTGCTAAAAAGGTTACATGAAAAAGTTAGACAACCTGAACTTTTTGCCAACAATTCATGGCTCTTGCGTCACAACAATGCACCAGCTCACACAGCACTGTCTCTGAGGGACTTTTTAGCCAGTAAACAAATAACTGTATTGGAACACCCTCCCTACTCACCTGATCTGGCCCCCAATGATTTCTTTCTTCACCTGAAGATAAAGGAAATGTTGAAAGGAAGACATTTGATGACATTCAGGACATCGAGGGTAATACGATGACAACTCTGATGACCATTCCAGAAAAAGAGTTCCAAAATTGCTTTGAAGGGTGGACTAGGCACTGGCATTGGTGTGCATAGCTCCCCAAGGAGAGTACTTCGAAGGTGACCATAATGATATTCAGCAATGAGGTCATGATATTCAGCACTTTTTCTAGGATGAGTTTGCAAACTTAATTGTCAGACCTCGTAAATCAAAACATTGATTTCAGTATGAATCCAACCAACTAAAAGGCTTTCTAGCCTTTAACCAGTTCTGGATCATTCTCAAATGTTAATGAACAATTTTTCCTGGTTTTAAACCCACATTCGGTCATTCCATTATTGAACAATTTGCATAGTTTCCTGTAGTAAAACCAAGATAAAAGCAGAGTTGGATTTTCCCCCTTGTTGGGCAAGAATCTCAAGGTAATTGCCTTAAGTTTCTGCTTAACTTTGTTGATGGAAACAGGAGACTTGCTCTCCCAATAGCTTCCAGAATGTTATTAAGATGAAATCATTTTGTACTTTTATCTATTTCTGTTTGTTTTAATGTCTGATAGAAGCACTATGATTGTTTAGACTTTACCCTGTATTTATTTGGAATTACTGAGTTTCTGCCAAGTCACTCATTTCCAATTGTGGACCCTGAGAAAGAAGACAACTACCAAGAAGGGCTCCTGGTGGTAAACTAGGCTCAAATTTAAAAATAGAGCCTAGCGGCCATGTCTAAACAGGGGCCACTCATGCAAATTGGACTTCAGGGAGGAGCCTGAACTAAACTGCCTGTCTCCTTCACTGAACTGCTTGGCTGTACTGTGTTCCTGCCATTTGAGCCAGCCCTCATAAGGAGTTCCTGGAATTGTATTTTAACCAATAAGACTGAGGCTTTTCCTGTTCATTTGGAGCTGTGCAGGTATATCCCCATCAGCATCTATACTGACCAATCAGAGTGGCTCCATTCTGACCCATCAAGAAAGTGCCTTTTGGATCAATCAAACTTTGAAGATTTGGAGCCATCATTTGCATGAGGATGGACCAATCAGGGACCAGGGGCAGGGACTTCTCTCTATATAAGTCAGCTACCCTCTGGCTTAAGGAGCACACTTCCTCTTTCCACTGAAGACAGAAGACTGTGTTTTCCTGGCTGGAGCTGAAACACTGAAGAAGTCTCACTGGACCAGACAAGAAAAGCAGCACATACCAGACTGACACAGAGCAGGGTACCATGGAACAGAGCAGGGCAGAGTGGAACACAGCAGAGCGGAATGAACTGGAGCAGGTGGAGCGGACTGAAGCAGAGCAGAGCAGTCTCTCTCCAAGGCCACCTCACCCCAGGGCCACCTCACAGCCGTGCTGTTCCACAGCCATGCTGGTTCATAATTGAGCTGTTCCACAGTTGTGCTGTTCTCACAACCGTGCTATATCACAATTGAGCTGTTTGCTCTGAATAAAAATTCCTTCTTCACTGTACCCCAAATTGGGGATTCCTGTTGGCATTGAATCGGCACCAGTAACCATTGGTTGACACAATAAAGTGAGTTCAATAACTTCACAAGTGTGTAGTGAGTGCCGTCTGTGTGTTAGACACTGTGCTATACAAAAAACAGAGAAAGCTTCTGTTCTTCAGAATGAAGCTTGTACCTCCCTTCAAAAATCCTACAATCCAGGTAAACCAGATTGCACTCCAGTCTCCAAATATGCTACATGCTTGCTTACTCTGAACCTCTCACCATGACTTGCTCTATGCCAAGAATGTCTTATCCCCACTTCTTGCTTTGCTTTTGGACTATTTCAAATGGCTTCTCCTCCACAAGCCTTTTTTACATCATGACCAGTAAGCTGATGAAAAGATGTTCCAAATCATTAGTCATTAAGGAAATGCAAATAAAACAATAGTGAGTCGAATGGTGGCCTCAAAAAAATATGTCCACACCCTAATACCTGGAACCTGTGAATGTGACCTTATTTGGGAAAAGGGTCATTACAGATGTTATTAAGGACCTTTAGATGACATCATCCTGGATTATCCTGATGGACCCTAAATCCAATAACAAGAGTCCTTTTAAGAGATAGAAGAGAAGAGGGCCGGCTGAGTGGCGTGATGGTTAAGAACTGGCTTGGGACGCCAGAGGGCCCCGGTTCGGATCCCACATATGAGGGCCAGTGACACTGCCCTCCACAGCTAAGATGCTGAACAACAGCTCAACCTGGAGCTGGGCTGCCCTGAGTCGCCAGCGATGGTGTGGGCTGCAGCCCCTGTGGCAGTGGGTTGCCATGGGCTACCGTATGTAGCCAGCAGCCAGCATGAGCGGCCAGCAGCCAGCATGAGCGGCCAGCAGCCGCAGTGAGCGGCCGTCCAGAAGCCAGCGACTGATCTGCCTCGCCCGGGAAGAGCGCAATGATGGTGCCAACTTGGGCCAGTGAAGCAACGTCCTCCACAACTAGACTGAAGAACAAAATGACAGCAACTTGTCTGTTCCCCTTCCCCCAATTCCCCAGCTCTGTTCCCATCCCCCCAATTCCCCAATAAAAATCTTAAAAAAAAAAAGAGATAGAAGAGAAGACACAGGAATCAGAGGAGAAGGCCATGTGAAGATGGAAGTTGAGATTAGAGTTATGCAGCCACAAAACAAAGAATACTGTAAACCACCATAAGCTGGAAGAGGCAAAGAAAAGTTCTTCCCAAGAGCTTTGGAGGGAGCATAGCCCTACTGACTCCTTGATTTTTGGACTCTGGAATCCAGAATAATTTTGTTCTTTTAAGTCCCCTAAACTAGTAATAATTTGTTATGGCAGCCACAGCAAACTAATATTTTGCTCCTTGATATATATCCAAGAGGACTGAAAATATATCCATACAAAAACATGTACACAAATGTTCACAACAGCATTATTCCTAATAACTCCAAAGTGGAGACCCAAATGTCCATCCATGGACAAATGAATGGGTAAACAAAGTGTGGTACCATCCATACAATGGGATATTGTTCAGCCATAAAAAGGAATGCAGTATTGATACATGCTACAAGTTGTATGAGCCTGGAAAACATTATGCCAAATCAAAAAAGCTAGTCACAAAAGACCACATGTTCTATGATTCATTTATATAAAATGTCCAAAATAGGCAAATCTATACCAAAATAAAGTAAATTGTGGTTGCCTAGGGTGGGGGTGAAGTGGGTGGGGGAATGAGGAGAGTGAGGGAGCTGGGGATGGGTAGTGAATTGTTTATTTATTATAAACAATGACTATTTATGAGTGATTATTTTAGATTTATACTACCATAATCTAGACAGCAAACCTAACAACCAGGAAAAGTAAGCTCCAAAATGTATTATTAACCTTGGTCTTTGATGCCATGTTCCAGGAAATGTGTCCATGTAGGTTGTTGGGTGAAGTACCTAGCCAGTTTTAAATCCTAACCCTTTTCCTGAGAGGAAACACTTGGCACCTGAGAGATTCCCCTCCTGATCGATCCTCTCTCTACCCACTTCAATGCATATGGACTCGTGAAAACTGCATTCTCTGTTCATTGGGGATGGCCTGATAAAACCTAGCCCCACTTCCTGAGAAGCTCTACCATTTCTGTTTCTTCTAGTGATTTTCTTCACTCTGAGCAGTCTAACAGGGCCAGAGGGTGACACCACAGACAAAGCCAGAGTCTCAGA